AGCCCTGGCAGGGCCGGGAGCCTCCCGAGGGCTCAGCCCCGCGCTCCGGGAGGAGAGGGGCTGGCTGGGATGGGGCAGGGATGGGGCAGGGATGGTTTGGAATGTTCTGGGATGAGGCAGGGCTGGTTTGGGATTGTTTGGAATGTTCTGGGATGTTGCAGGGCTGGTTTGGGATTGTTTGGAATGTTCTGGGATGATGCAGGGCTGGTTTGGGATGGTTTAGGATGAGGCAGGGCTGGCTGGGGATGGGGCAGGGCTGGTCTGGGATGGTTTGGGTTGATGCAGGGATGGTTTGGAATGTTTTGGGTTGGTTTGAGATGTTTTTCACTGGTTTGGGATGGTTTGGGGTGATGCAGGGATGGTTTGGAATGTTTTGGTTTGGTTTGGGATGGTTTGGAATGTTCTGGGATGATGCAGGGCTGGTTTGGGAGGGTTTGGGATGAGGCAGGACTGGTTTGGGATGATGCAGGGATGTTTTAGGATGTTTTGGGCTGGTTTGAGATGTTTATCACTGGTTTGGGATGGTTTGGGCTGGTTTGGGCTGGTTTGGGATGATGCAGGGCTGGTTGGGGATGGTTTGGGATGAGGCAGGACTGGTTGGGGATGATGCAGGGATGCTTTAGGATGTTTTGGGCTGGTTTGAGATGTTTATCACTGGTTTGGGATGGTTTGGGATGGGGCAGGGCTGGCTGGGGATGGGGCAGGGCTGGTCTGGGATGGTTTGGGTTGGTTTGAGATGTTTTTCACTGGTTTGGGATGTTTTCGGGTGATGCAGGGCTGGTTTGAGATGGTTAGGGATGTTTTGGGCTTGTTTGGGATTATGCAGGGCAGGTTTGGGAGGTTTTGGGTTGTTTTGAGATGTTTATCACTGGTTTGGGATGTTTTCGGGTGATGCAGGGATGTTTTAGGATGTTTTGGGTTGGTTTCAGATGTTTATCACTGGTTTGGGCTGGTTTGGGATGTTTTGGCTGTTTTGGGCTGGTTTGGGATTATGCAGGGATGTTTTAGGATGTTTTGGACTGGTTTGAGATGTTTATCAGTGGTTTGGGATGTTTGTCACTGGTTTGGGATGGTTTGGGATGGGGCAGGCTGGTTTGGGATGTTTTGGCTGTTTTGGGATGTTTTGGGGTGATGCAGGGCTGGTTTGGCCTGGTTTGGGATGTTTTGGGCTGGTTTGGGATGTTTTGGGATGATGCAGGGATGCTTTAGGATGTTTTGAGTTGGTTTGAGATGTTTTTCTCTGGTTTGGGATGTTTTGGGCTGTTTTGGGGATGTTTTAGGATCCCAGCCCCAGGTTTTGCTCCATGGAGGTTTTTATTCTGCAGAACAGAGGCTTTTAGAGAATGAATTGGGATTTACTAAAGGCCTTCAAGAGGTGCCCCTTGGGCAGTGAAAA